TTATGATACTGTGCACTTGGAAACTGTCAAGCTTGTGTATTGCCAAATACTCTGGAATCAGGAGCTGTAGACAAATTTTGAATCTGAGCCTAAAATTGCTGACATATAAATAGGAAGGCAAGTTTCCTTAAAGGATATACATTTTTTTCACCCTCTAGTATCACAGATAGTTGTTAATTTTAAGTGTATCTTATCCTAAAACTCTGTCTTAAAGTTTGGCTCTTCTGGTTTTTTTTCTTGGGAATACATTCTTGGAACTCATTATGTGCCTGCATGATTTATCCTGGATTAAAAAAAAATGTAAGCACATTTAGTTTTGATTATAAAGCTGTTTGGGACTATTTGCCTCAACATAATTTGATTGTTTTGTTGCTTTTCATCCTCTTTGACAGATACTTACATTTTTAATTGAAAATAAATGAATAATGATACTACTCTGGAGGAGAAGTTTAGTAATAGAGGTTATTTTGTGCTGGAAACTATTTAACAAAAGTAGAAAAATGTTCCTAAATTTATTATTAATTGCTATAAATTTATCCTATATAAATAATTCTCTATAAAGCTCAAATTACTTACCAGGTAGTTCTTAGTGAAACCTATAATATACTGCTAGTGTATATACTATGTCTCTAAACTGCTAATTTGCCTATAACAATAGATTATAAAATAGCATTAGTAAAGCAATAAATCATGATTTGATTAAGGTCCTTCATTTTTCAACTGAAAACTCAAGAGCTTATCAGTAGAACATCACTGATTTATCTATCCTGAACTGTTCTCATTTGATCTTTCTTCTGAGCTCCTTCCTCTTTCATATTTAAATAAAATAATAGTAAAACCCTAAAAGAGTCAGCCCATCTGAAAACCAGTTTGAATTCAGAGCTCCTGAGAACTCTATATCAAGTATTATTAAAACCTAAACCCTCTCAAACATTTCTTATGTTTTTAAGATTACTTGGGGTGACTAAAACAATATGGCTATTGGAATCCAGGTGATGGCCAGGACAGGTCTTGGGAAAGGAGAATGGGGTGTTCACTGAGTTGAGAGCTCATGTAGGCAAATGTGTGGCACATTTTCGTCCAGTACTAACCTGGACACATAGCTTGACAGTAGATAATACTGGTACGCCAGATATTAGAAACTTACAGGCCATTCGAATCACACAAACAAATACTGTGTAACCTTGAATCCAAGTGGAATTTCAAGTAGCATGTGCTTTTTGAAAAAGTAAGTGAAAATGTCATGGGGATACTAAGTTTTGGTGTGTGGTGAGGGCCAAAGGAAGGCACTTAATAGTCTACATGTTTAAAAGATATCAATATATATCTATTTAATCCTTGGACTTTTACTCTTTAGTTGTTTTTCAACTGTTGAATTGTGATTCTCTTTTTCAACTGTATGACTGGTGCACTTTGTATTCAAGGAACTAACCTTTTTCAAATTTCCTTTTATGTATTGTATTTTTTCCCCAAAGTGACTATAATCAAAGAGCACTAAAGATACATTAAAAACCTTTTATCCTAGCTACTTTTATAGGATACACTTTCTTAATGCTAACATTTTCTTTATGCACTCCTTTAATGACATCAGAAGAATAATAAAAATGTGAAAATGCTAGACATTCATCATAAGTACTAACTTTACCTTTTCTTGGTTCAAGTTGATTAGTAGTGATAAAATTAAGTTCCATGGTGATTGTTCAGCATAGGTACTTGCAAATTCCACTGGTGATAGCATGATTTTTTGTACTACTAAAAAATTATATGGAAAACATATCTTTATTTCAGATGGCTTTATTTTGTGGTTATAGGGTGAAAGTGTATCTTTAAAAATAAAATATGAAGTCCATATGTTTTTGCTGTAGTAAATCCAATTCTAAAATTAAGAAGGTGGTAATAATTTTATCCTTGGCAAAATAGAAGGTGCAAACAGCTATATTTTTCTTTTCTGCTGATTTGAATTTCCCCTGTTAAGAGAGGAAGTGGAATAGATGTGTGTTTTTAAAATTTTTCTCTCAGTTAATACTTGATTCCCATAATAAATCAAGTATCTGGCTAGTCTAAACAGCTATTGGACATCATTTTCTTATATGGTTAGTGTTTGATAGTGGTTAGTGTTTATTAGTGATTACTTTTCCTAGTCAGAGTTTTCATGGTACTTTGCAATAAAGAATTATGTAGAATGTTTTACTTTGTACCAATTCATAACAATTATGACTTCAATTTCATAAGCATTTTAGATTTATTTCACAAACATCATGAACTTATGATGGGGAAGGTGCTCTACTGGGCTTGTCACTTTGAGGTCCATCAAGCCCTTGAATGATTGCTCTTCGTTTTGGAGTTATTTCTTGCCCTAAGAAACACCAAAGAATTCTGAAGCTTCCTATAACTACTGGGAAATGACAAATAGTGTTTGATAGATTTTCTTATCCCCAAATAGCAACAGTTCTGCACACACTTGCTATCTATCTATGAAGGAAAACAAAATAAAGCATCTCAAAGAATCTCAGATGACTGTTTATACTAATCTGAAGAGATTTATAGCTGCCGTCTGTACATTCTGTACCAATCCACACACATTTTTATTTATGTCAAATACATATCCTTTTTTTTTAAAGTAAGAGTAGATTGAGAAATCAAAACTGTTCTCAAATAACAGAAGTTAAGGCCAGATTAGGATATTGGTATTTCACTATTGAAACTAATATCAAACTATTTCTTTTCTTCAAACTATTACTTTAGAACGCTTTCATCCAATGCATATTTCTGGATGAATAAGTGCATGGATCAGGTAACGTGTTTATAAACACTTATTGATTCCTTCTCCTCTGGGCCACGTACTAAACTATAAAATGAATAAGCCGTCCTTTCTCCAAGGGCTTACCTCTTGGCTGATAGACATGTAAGCAAACAGATGCGCTTCAACAGCCTGTGTGCTGTGATAGATGCAGACAACAGTGGAAAGCATGGGAACAGATGTGGCCATTTGAGAAATACAAGGTCAAGGATTTGTTATATGGTATTTAAACAAGTACACTAGGTGATTTTGAGAAAATTTATTGAAAATATGCTTTTATGAAAGCAATACAAATCTTCATATTTTTTCTTGACTAATAGAAGACTTTTCTCTGCATAATTCTCAAACCATTGTATTTCTCAAATGGCCACATCTATTGGTAGTTCTGAGAGTAAGACTCTGGACTCCCATTGCTAATAAACTCCCCAGGTTATCAGAATTTCCACAGAAGGTTGGGGATCAAGGCCCCTTATAGTTGAAATGTGTGGAATACTAGTTTTTGTGGACTTTAAGGTATATTTCTGTACTTCAAGAATATTTGATTGATAAAGTGGAAATTTTCTCCTGATTAATTCAGCTACAAGAACACACAGCCATACGAGGTTATAACCAAGCCCACCCATTGACTATGGGGTACCAGGTTATGCTGATTGAGGGGGAACCTCCTATGTAGAGCAGTGCTTCTGGAAGTAGAGACCTGTACACAATGAGCATCAGTCCCAGTACCCCAGCTCTCTGTTAGCATTCAATCTACCTGTTCTCCACATGAAATATTCCAATCAGGAAATGCTGGATTTGCTTTTATTTGAGCTCGTAGCAGCTCTTTTCAAATATATCAACAGACAAAAAGTTAAACAGAAGAATGGCTTCATAGCTGTGGCACTCAAGAGCAAGCTGCATGCCCTCTTTAAATTCTGTCCAGGCACATAGCTAAACACTTAGGACAGGTTTGGCCCTTGCCCCTGGTGAATAGTTTTTGGTTAGGCATTTTTCTTTTCTTTTCTTTCTTTTTTTTTTTTTTTTGGCTATTTTGTTATATTTTTTAATGATGTTAAGTAAAGAAATTGTTGTCTTTGTTCAACAGTTATATGAGGATTGCCACTGTGATGTTGAAATGTAAAATTCTAAAGGGTGAGAAATGAGATAAAATGCATGGCTTCCAATCTGTGTTGCCAGAATTCCCACCGCCCCCTCTCATCCTCTTCTCTCTTCCTTCAGGCTGTGGCTCAGTTACCCTTCTTTTTCCATCCTTCTCTTTGCCTTCTGTTCATAAAGGCAGCAGCAGGACAAATGAGACTAGGATTCTCTTTGGTGTCACTTTTCCAGTTTTGTAATGTGGTTTATTTCCCAGTATTTTTTTTTTTATTAAATATGGTTGAAAGTTTCATCTTCATAGTCTAATTATTAAAGTAAAATATTTCTATAGCTTTTATGTTAAACTTTCAGTTACATAATTAAAAGGTAAACATTGATGTTTAATGTGTGAGGATATGCATTTTGTAATTTGCATGTTAAGAATGTAATTAGCAATAAAATGATCATTGTCCTCTATGATTTTTTTCTTTTTTTTTTCACATTTTAAGATGCCAGATTTGGCGAATGGGGAAAAGGAAGATAAATTACCTTTATACTGTTCTTACCTCAGTTACTGATGACACTGGACAACTTTCTTGCACGGGGATTCTTCAGACACATCACAAATTCCAAAGAATTTCAATCTGTTAAACTACAAATTTTAAAGACAAAATAGATGTGAGGATTGTGCGTGTGCGTGTGTGTGTGTGTACGTGTACATGTGCACATTCATGCATGCATATTCCTGTAATTTTATGGTTATTCAGTCTAATAGTATTTGAAACAGATCAGAAGTTCTTGAACTCAATATGAGACTAGAACACACTAGATGGTGCTGTTATCCCAACAGCAATGGAGCTCTGGAAACAGTGCTTGTGTAGAGCAGAGGGAGAGCAAAGGGAATCATGCCCAGAGTGCATGTTTGATTTTGCCTTACGCCAGAGGATACGCTAATATCAGATTACAGAGTTCACTGTCACCGTTTGCATCTTACTCAGAGATGATTTGCTGAAGTTCTATGCTAGAGCAACATTGTTTTAATAAATGTGTGCATGTGAGTACATGAATGCATGGGAGGTGTGGGGTGGAACAGGCATCCTGCTTTTATCTAATTTCTCTCTGACTTTATCTACTAATGCTTTCTTAAAAGACCACTATATTCCAATCAGAATTTCTAGAAATATCTTACATCTTCCTATACCCTTATTTGTCTCCTGCATTTTTCCTCCAACTGCTGTTTTACCACCATACTTTGTATTTGTCCCTTAAGACCAATCTCAAACACTATGCTCTTTGTGAAGTCCTTCCTGATAGCCTCAGTCAATTCTTTCTTTATACTTAATTCCCATATTCTTCTACATATTATATTCTGTCTGGCATTATTTGCATACAACTCTTCTTATTCTGGTAAGGTCTTTGAGAACACAGTTTCTTATGCCATTTTTCTGTCTTCCTCTTACCTTATAAGCCTTTACATGAAGCATTGCTTCTTGAAAGTAACTGATGCTTACAAATGAAATGAAGAAATGAAAGAATGAGCCAATGAATTGTTAATAAGATGAATTTTCTAATTGTTCTGGATAACCCTATTTGCTCTCCAAGTTTTTACCACATTGTTCTGAATCCTGAGAAGCTGACCTCTGCGAATTGCATCAGCCATTCTTGCCCTCTGGTCTCCAAGTGGCATGGCCAATGAGAAGGACTTCAAGAAATATGAAGTCAGGAGAAGAGAAGAGTAAAGGTATTTATTGTCTTATCACCTGAGCCATGCCATGAATTGGCCATAGTTTCCTACCCATAAAGCCATAGGAATCTAGCTCCAATCTTTTGCCCTTTCAAGTCAAGTTAGCTCTGGATACTTCACTATCCCTTGTTGCTTACATTAATTTTGTCCCTTTGTTAAACTCTCTGAAATCATCACTTTGGGTTTGTAAACTATGACCCACATACAAACTATGATCCACAAAAGACAATTAATTACAAAAATGAATTGGTTCTTTCAAGAAATCATTCTTTCTGATAATATGACCAAGGGTCAAGATTTTAAAGGATTAGTCATATAACTGAGGTTTGATTTTACCTTTATCCTGAGTCAAAACACAGATAAATCTGACACACACACCAACACTTGAGTTGCGGAACTGTTCAAAATAAGCATCTTAAATACTGAAGAACAGTTATTAATTTCCTGAAAAGGGAATTATCTACAGTGATATTAATGATTGCTTTTCTTGGGCATGGCCTATGTGCCATCTACACATTATCTCATTTAAAAATATTCCATCAGTTCTTTTCCTGCTAACACACAGAATCACTGACTCATAGAACTAAAACTATGGTTTTCAAACCTTCTCTAGCTGACCTAGGAATCTCAACTTAAATTTTATCTTTAACAAGAAAATGCATTTGACTGCCTGAGCTTTCAGTGAATAACCGATCAAGATGGGCATGCAGCTTTTGGAAATTATCCTAAAAATGACAATATTAAACACTTCATTATATAAATAAGATTCAAATGAAAATGATTTTTATACTCACACAAAAAATACAGAAAAGATTTATAATGGTTGAGAAATCTGTTCATTGATTCTCTTCCAGTGTAGACAAGAGCAATGAGAACCTTCTGCGTTTCACTTTTTCAGCTATAAAATGGCAATAATTTATCTAGCTCGCTTAGGTTTTTATGATGATTAACCGGTACCATCGTAACATCTGCTGGGGGCTGACAAAGGGTGCTCTGTTCATCTTGTTTTTCTTCTTTTCGGCAGTCACACAGTCATTTATTGGGCAGTCCCATCTAAAGCCCAGGTCTCCAGACTTCAAGTGCAGAACTAGTTCCACCTTGCTGATGCTACCCAAGTTAGTCTTCAGGTATATTATTTCTTTTTCAATTGTATTTTTCTTTTTTGGTTGATACATAGAATCTAGCATATCAGGAAAATATAGGCTAAAAATACAAACTTTAATGGCCTCTGGGTAGACAGGTTGGAGAAAGTCAGAATAGGAGAAGAACAGAGAGATCATTCTATTTCTGTACTTCTTCAATTTCCTTCGGTTTAAAATATGGAGTATGTTGTGTTAGTTAGCTTTTGTCTTTGTGACCAAAATATCTGAAAAGAACAACTTAGAAGAAGAAAACTTTTGGATTCAAAGTTTCAGAGGTTCAGTCCAAGATTAGTGGATTATGCCATTTTTCTGTCTTCCTCTTATTTATAAGCCTTTACATGAAGAACTGCTCTTGAAAGTAACTGATGCTTACAAATGCAATGAAGGAATAACAGAGTGAGCCAATGCATTGTTAATAAGATGAATTTTCTAATTGTTTCGTATACTCCTATTTGCTCAGGAGGCAGAGAGTGAAAGGAGAAGGGGCCATGAGGAAGATGAAGTTTTCCAGGGCATGCCCCCAGTGACCCACCTCCTCCAGCCTTCCTAGTTACCACCCAATTGTTCCATTCAAACTAAGACAGACAGACTGATGAGTTACAGCTCTCATAATCAAATAATTTCATCTCTGAATATTCCTGCATTAACACAAGAGCTTTTGAGGAACATCTCACATCCAAACTATAACATATGTCAAGGTACCATATTCTGCAGTGGTGTTTCCTCTACCCCATTACCTCATCCTTCAACTAGTCAGATGACTTGCAGTCAATACTTAACAATTTCCTAACATGGGCCTCACAAACTGGAAGGATAACATGCAGCCTATGAGTTTGTATTTCTCACAATCACATGCATATTAGCTCTCAGAATTCCAATTCTTAGTAACTTGACTCCCATTTTTTTCTTTTTTGGCTGACTAAATTATAGGTCTGACATTAAGGAGACAAAACAGTTCTTGGGGAGATGAGTTTTTGAATTTATTTCAAATGTTATTTATTTGAATTTATTTATTTGAATTTATTTCAGAAGTTATTTATGTCAAATTTTATTTTTGATCAAAATATACTTGTAGTTCATGTTCAAATATTCCATCTGACTGAAAGACTAGTTTTATGTCTTTACTCTTTGGATTGTGAGAAAAGGACAGACTATAGAGAATTTGTGGATAAATGTGAGAATACAATATAAAATCCACAGAGAAAAATAAAAACAACACCAGAATTTCAGTCTCTAAAATATAGAATATAGTCCTTAATTATCTTTAAAATTTGTCAATGTTTCTTCTTAATTTTGCCCCATGTAAACCAGGTATCAAATACTTACATACACTTACTGATATATACAAACATACATACATACACACGCTTATATGCTTGTGATTTTAAGAGTATCTTTCACATTTGTGAATATAGACAGAAAAATCGATGGATAAGTAGTTGATTGATATTTCCAAATTCATATACATTTATCTTATGATCATTCTTCTTATAGTGATTTCTAGACCTAAGAGTTCTGTGAAGCAGATCACTTGTCTTGCTGATGAGGCCACCTTGGTCAACATTAGCACGTGTGATGAGTGAAGGACAATGGCTGTTTTCAACACAAGCTACAAGAGGATATTCCATTTGACATGTAGCTTATCTGCCCAGAAAAGAGGTTACTTACAAGGTGAGTCAGAAAGCACAGCCTTCTGCTAATAGTGCACCAAATCCAGCCAACAATAATGTGCATTGAACACAGAAGGGCCAACAGTGCTACCCTGCAGCACGGTATGTCCTAGGTTCCCTGCTAAGAGCTCTGCATTACTTCCAATGAAGGAGAAATTTTTAAAAAGTCCTAGTCTTCTACTTTCATTAAATCATGTTTAATGAAGTAGAACTGGAAGATAATAGTGGACCAAAAATATAAATGTCTAAAAACTACGTGTATATATATTATTATATTCATATAACACATGTATGTAATATATGTACATAATATATATGTATAATATATGTACTATAACATACAATATATGTGTATATAATATATAATATATGTACATGATGTGTATATGATATATTTGTGTATATTATTATATATAATATATATTACATATTAGTCATAGAATAAAAGAAAGAGTTTATCAGTAACACATATGCTTCCCTTTTAAAACTATTGATATTAATATGATAAAATAATTTTGAAGAAACTAGAAACACATATCAAAGTGATCTCAAATCTCTTGGCAACAAGGATAAAATAAGAAGGTACTGCATCAGAATATTATATAGCAATTACTAGTTTTGATTTGTGTTTTGTCCTTAGTGGAAATGAAGCTGATCTTTACCCTAGTTTACTGAAGACAATGCAAGCTTTAAGCTTTCACTTGCTAAATTTTGCTAACAATGTAGTTTTGCCCACTTGGGAGCTGAAATCTTGATTGTGATATTCACTGTTAAGTGAGTGATCTTAGCACCTGCAACCAAAGAGCCAATGTAGATCCTAGGGGTGTGTTAAATGCAATTGAAATCCATTTAAATATCAAAGCAAAAGTTGAAGCACAGTCAGATAAGATGGATATTGAAAGAATTGGAAATAAAATTTAAAAATATGTTCATTGAATACAACCTAATTGTAGACTGATATATGCCAGACAATTGCAGATTCAAATCCTATTTGAAAATTGGGCAATGTATTATTAGAATTCAAAGACAAAATCCTCATGAGCACCCATTCAGCAAATTTAAACTTTGAGTGCCCATTGCTATTGCAGCTGACCATAGACATTCAACTCTTTATTTAAGATCAAAGAAAAAAATGCAATATATACATTTAAAATTTTTATTCTTTTTTTTTTCTTTTTACCTACTAGGAATCAAATTGAACCCAGGGGCACTCTACCACTGAGTTACATCTTCAGCCATCTTTATTGTTTGACATAGGGTCTCATCAAGTTTCCCAAGCTGGCTTCAAACCTGTTATGCTCCTGCCTCGGCCTCTCTAGTATCTGGGATGACAGGTATGTACCACCATATATTTCATAAACCAGCAATAGAAAAAAAATCTCTCTAGTAATCATACAAACCTCATTACTAGAGAGCATAAACTATTTTCTTGGGAAAACTACCCCAAATTACCTTGTGAAAGTAGAATCATTAGTGGGTTATTAAAGATTCTCCTAAGTGAATCAAATGTCTATTTCTCTTTCTTTTCATGTGTGGATTTACTGAGATTTATATGGGTGCATGGCAGCCAACCTTGAGTGGACATTTCTCAGGTTCCGTTACAGTTGTAGCCACGTGTAAACTGAATAGAAGTGAACTTGGCTCCTTCCTAGTCATCCTGTTAGGACCTTTTCAGTGCATACTATTGTTCCTCTTTTTGGCTGGGTAGGAGATAGCACATTTGGGGGCAACTGTCTTCAATTTAAAAATAGAAACCACATTTTGGAGATAGAAAAGTACGTCTAGTCAACTCTCAGAAGAGAAACCATGCTAACACTTACTTACCTGTAAACTCTTACATGAGAAAGAAATAAAACTATATTTTGTTCAAGCAAATGCATATTTTGTCAGCTTTATTGAAATATAATTCATATTCCATAAAGTTTACTTCTGTTAAGTGGATAATTCAATGGTTTTTAATGAGTATTGAGTTGTGGGACCAATATCATAATTTAACTTTAGAACATTTTCAACAATCCCTAAAAGACAACTTTCATCCACTAGCAGTTAGTCCCTAACTCCCAACCCCTCAGCAGCACCCCTCCAGCCCTAGACAACCACTAACCCACTTTCTGTCTTTGTAGCTTTGTCTGTACTGGACATCTATATATATATCTATATATATATATATATATATATATATATATATATATATATATATGGACTGTAATGACTGCCTTTTAATATTCAGCATAGTGTTTTTGAGGTCAACCCATTTTGTAGCATGTATTAGTACTTTATTCCTTTTGGTTACCAAATTATACTCTGTTGTATGGATTTAGCAGATTTGCTTATTCATTCACCAGCTGATCAACATTTTTTTGGTTTCACTTTTTGGTTGTTATGAATCCTGGATGTTAGAGTACAAAATTTTTGTGTAGCCATGTGTTTTCATTTTGGGGTGATATATACCCAAGAGTGAAATTGGTGTATTATATGATAACTCTGTATTTAATGTTTTGAAGAATTGCTGAAGTGTTTTCCAAAGTAGCTATGGCATTTTACATTATCACCAATAGTGTATATATAGCAAGTGTGTTTTCAGGTTTCTTTGTTACTACAACTGAACTTCTACCCAGAAGTGATATTCAAAATATTCAACAACTAATACAATATGGAGAAAAATCTGTAGTATGGAGAAACTTGCTTAAACTGTCTTATGAGAAGCAATTGTTGATGTACTAGGGATTGAATCCAGGTGCCCTTTACCACTGAATTGCATCTCAGCCCATTTATTTTTTTTTCTTTTTTTCATTTTGACAGGGTCTCAATGAGTTACCCAGACTGACCTTGAACTTGCTATCATCCAGCCTCAGTCTCCCAATTTGCTGGGATTACAGGTCAAGAACCAACCATTAATTAGGAATTTTAAATGTCAGTTATTAAATCTGTGGTTGTTGGAAGTGGCCCATGGGTGAATATTTACAACACAGAAATTGGCAACAACAACAACAACTAGTCAGGGAAATGCATTCAAAAGCATTAATAATTTGTGGTTATTTGAAATTATTTTAATATATGTGAAATTAAATATTTGGAATAGATCTGTAATTTCAGCGTATAAAATATTTAACACATTTTACTTATATTTGACTTACTCAATCGAAAATTGAGTTAGACCCATGATTTTAAGTAAAAGAAAATTATATAGTTATTAAACCTGTTAGAATTTTAGGATAATTTATGAGCTACTGCCTTGTAAATCAAATTTATTAAATCACAAGAATGTTTAAATACTTAGATTTTTTTGTAGGAGGCATTTGAAATATTTTAAAAGAAAATAAGTATAGTAGAATGATAGATGCATTGAAGCATATTTACCAGAAGTGTCTCTCTTGACACCTGTCAAAATTTGCCCCGCTGGGGATATAGTTGAATGATAGAGCACTTGCCTAGCATGTGCTGGGTCCTGGATTTATTCCCAAGCATCATAAATAAAAACAAATTACCAGGTTAGTGAATGAATAAAGGAAGTTATTAATCAAACTTCAAGGACTTAAGACATTTTAAATATTTTATTTCAATAAATCAAATATTAATTTTAGAAGTCATACTAAAATCTCTGTTATCCCCTGAAGATGCTCTCGAGGACATAAAGGTTATTCAATGACATGTAGACTCTGTCTGGGAAGGTATTTCTGGGTTCCTGAATAAAATGATCAAAACACAGGTTTCTAGAAAAATAATTAAAAGGATATACTGAGAATTAGTATCTCAGTATATGGGTATACTATACTATTCTGATAAAGTTTATTGTTTTCTCTTTCTTCTTTACTTGGGAACTTGTGTTAACACCTTTTTCATTAGAATGGAGGGAGTGACCTGACCCAGGTCTAGGTGCCTCTTCTTGCATATTCCAGTGATACTTGTCCATGGACCACATGGGTACATCAGTCTGCTAGTGCCTATCCTTATAACTATCTTCAGATTCAGCATCTCTGTTGATGTAATTGTTCAAAGTTTATCTGAAATGGTAAAGCTTTCTTAATGTCTTTTTATACAAATTTAAAGTGCTCTGGAGAGTGCTGGTTGCCAAATTGGGAATGTTATCATGGGAATGGCGGTATTCCAAGGTCTTGCCTCCATGAATTTTAGTCTCAGTTCTCTCTGGACTGCTTGCCTTACTGAAACAAAGAGAAAGGCTATATTCTGAATTTTCTCATGGGAAGAGTTCCTTCCCTGGCTCAAAATACAAGTTAAAACCATTATATCCAACCATATTAAGATGCCTTTTCTTTTACTCTTTTTAACATCTCTCCTGGTAGAAATGGTTCAGGGGGATCCCTGTCTTTATTTTTACTTTTTTTTCCCCCATTGAAATGTTTTTTTCTCACTATCATGAGGGCTTCCATCAAAATTTAAGGGAATTACAAAAACCATGACTTACTGTGAAAGCTGATTAATTCCATGCACTTTATCTGTACTTCCAGGCTTTAAATGTGCAGATATTTCATTTGTTTGCTTTTGTGTTTTACATTCACAGGCAACTCCCAACTACACATTCACAGGAGGACATCTCCAACAAACTTCACTGTCTCTTCTTTGCCCTGTCTACATTTCATTGTATCACACATTTACATTCCCTTAGGGGAAAATTGCTTTAGACTTAACTGTAGTATGACACTTATAAAAATTCCTTGATTCCAAATTTCCTGCTGTATATTAATAGTTCATATCCAAGAAAATAATAAAATTTTAAAAAAATATTCATCCAATTATCACAAGAGAAACTGGACCCAAACTCCTCAGCAAACCTGTATAAAATCTTCCAATAATCTAGAGGGAGCCAGACATCATGGGTTTCAACTGCATTGCTGGGTGCTTGAGATTTTGGCATCTATTTCTCAGACAACAGAATGTTTGTTAATACTAAGGATGCCTAATCTACTAAGTGACTTCATAGTTTCAAGTGGGGAAAAAAACCTAATCAAACCACTACTGGGAATGTTTTTATTTGTTTAGCAAGAACAATTTTCAACTAATATTTCACGGCAAGACAAGACCACACAAGCATCACTGAAGCCATTCTTGTCAAATGTTTCTTGGCCTGACAAAACACCTGCAGAAGAAAATGAACAGCAGGATATTCTGAGGCTCTGCAAGGGGAAGTAGAAATAGTTGCAAAAAAAAGATGGAGAAATAATATTTAAGTTTCCTTAAAATACAACCTCAATAATACTGAATAGGAGTGAATAACTAAGAACAATAGCACAAAATAACAAAACTAGAATAAAGGAACAAAAGAAAGATGATTTCATGTGAGCCTATTCAGACTATGACTATAAGAAACCTTCACACCATGCCAGGTTATTGAAAGATATCCTAAGAGCAGTTTGCAGCCTAAGGAATAAATTACTTTGTATGTGATTCAAGACACCATTGAATTAAGATTTATTGCTAGATATTAAGGATCTTAACAATTGTATTTGGTGAGTTGAATAAAAGCAAATTTTTATGAAACTTAAATCAAGTTTATGAGATGAATTCCACAAGATCTGCTACTTTAGCTTACATCCTGAAATATTTTTTGTTTTATTTTGTTTTTAAGTGGAAGACTTTTCTTTCCTAGGAAGATTCATAGCTATAGTCTCCTTTTCCACCTTTCTCCAGTAAACCTGCTAGTTCTAAAATCTGCTTTCTTCTTAATTCTACCGAACTTATCTACTATTTATATGGATAAAATTGAAAAAAAATAATAGTTAAATTAACATTATTACAAAATTCTAAGTGATGGAATATTCCATTTAGTGCATGATTGAAACAAGGAAATTATCACCTTTAATTTGTATGTAATGACATTTTGATAAACCAAAAGTTAAGAGATTTGGGAAAACTTGGAGTGTTTATAGCTACAATATTGACAAATGAATATGTGTAGAGATTTTTTTTTAAGTTTGCATTATAACTGGGGTTGTGGCTATCATGTGTGAGGCACTAGGTTTGATTCTCAGCACCACGTCTAAATAAATAAATAAATAAAGGTCCATAAAAACTAATAAATTTTTTTTAAAAAATCCATAAGTTTGCATGCTAGCCTTCTGAGAGTTCAGTGCTGTCTTGATACATCACAGAGTAAGTCAAAGTGGTAAGTTAAGGATATAGACTCACACCAAAGTGTATCTCATGTTCTTGCTCATGCTTCTTTTTCCTGTCTTCCCATTGCCCTCCCCCACACTCTTTTACTCTCTTTTGCTTAAGTCTGAACCTTAACATTATTGCAATAATGTAGTTTGCTTGTACCAATAACTTTCTTGTCAGGAGACATCTGTTCTGTTATAAAAAGTCTCTTCTAGTAAAGCATCAATCATGTCACACTTGTAAAGCAAAACACATTTTTTGGGGGTCCCTAGATAGCAAAATACTGCTGAGAAAACAAACTGTGCAGAAATATTAACTGTGGCATATTAATACATGTACTCTTCACATTCTTTATTTGTCTCCTCTTGGTGCCATGTGATTCTGACAGTACTTGCTGCTGACCTCTTGTCTCTGAAATCACTAAGGACTTGTCAGTGTCCTCCTTAAAAGCATCAAAGTGGGCTGAGTGCCACAGAGATCCACATGATAGGAGAATGATGCTGCATTTTAGGCACTTGGATTTCATACGCTAAAAGCACAACTGTTAAACACTGTCGCAACTGTCTGAGAAGCTTCCCAAAGTGTGCCTACACAATGTCAAGCTACCTGGAAGGTTGTAGTTGATCATGTTAGGTGTCTGCAAATGCTCAGCTGCTTGGCATCCCTGATACAAAACATCTAGATGATGGATGTAAACTTGCACTTGACATCCTGAGGATTTTTGCATTACATTGATGTGCTCACCATGTACTTTTATGGCACCATTGAGAGAAATGAGACCGTACTGCTCCTTACCTACATCGAGGTTTGAAGTGGGGCGTGAAAGATAAATTGAGTCTTTTGGGTAAATACTTGTATGCCCAAAATTACTTTGGACAAAATTGTTAGAGCTAAAAGAAATAAATTAGTCAGTGTGTAGCTAGGAATATAAAATCATGCTAAATATTTCAAGTAGAACACAATTGGGAAGAAAACACAAGGTCTGGATAATCAAAAGGGAGAAAGGAATATCAAGGGAACTAAAAGAGAAGAGTGGGAACACAGGCCAGGCAACTGGACTGCCCAGGACTGCTGGACCTGCAGGCAGCCCATCCTGTGCTCTCCCTGTGGCAATCACCACCAAGCGCCAATCATAGCCACAGCTAGCGGGTCCAGAACCAGGACATTTCTCAGCTCATCCTGCTTTCAGGTTTCCTGACAATGATTTCAAATAACAGAAATAAATTGGAAGCCAATGGGGGAAGGGAGTATGGGAAATGAAATTTGTAGACTAGCAACCCCAAAAGTTCAAAGCAGAATGTAGTGGGACAAATATGAAAACTAGAAAAAGCAGGTAAATATGCAACAGTGTTTTGCCTGGTCAACACTCACACACATGAGATCAGATTATACTTAATATCAAAAGTAAGATGTAAATGTTGGGTACAAAGGGAGGTACAAAAATGGGAAGGTGGCAACAAACCCACAGCCCAGTGATATGTGGAGTATATAAACAAAGCAATGACATTTTCCTGTGTAGCCTATTAGCCTGCCCTTTTATATAAACTGAGACATCTGAGCTTTTCTAAAATGTACGTTTCTTCAGTAATCCATGAATATTTTCTTCTTGTAAAATATTAAAATTTATAGCTGCAGGTTAATCCCTCTTTGATTACTAAGTCAATCCTAGTTTCTTTCCCAGAAATGACTACTGTCAGTTTGATGTGTATTCAAATAAGCTGAAGCATCCTTCAGTAGAAGAAACAACCAAGTGAAATCTATTTACCCAGTGGAGTATTTTGCTGCCTTTTAAGAGAAAAAAAGTAGGTCTATAAAGATTTTATGAATGGCAAGTAAAAAAAAAAAATTGAATTTTCAGGATTTGTACTGTATTCCATTTGTAAGTTTTTCTAAACAAACACAAAATATAGACTTATTTTCTTCCTA